ACAACATACGACTAAATAAAGACCTTAAGGTCTCATCATTATATATATACAAAGCAACATAAAGAATATATGTACTTCATAGAATACACAATGACTAATAAATGTAAAATACCAAGGTCCTATACTACTTATCAAATAAATAGATAATAAAGAGCTTAAGATTTAGAGTAGTCAACTTTGTACAACATAGCCAATAATGTTATACATCAACCCCTAAACACCTAAGTTGATTCTTCTGAAGGGTCTTTATTAATTTCTTTATCAACAATAACTCTCTAGCTTGTACCACCGTCAATAACATTACTCTCTTCCCCTCTCCTTTTTTAATTTTCACATTATTATCCTCTTCATCCATTCGTTTAGTTTTCACACGCACCAAAAACATAAAACTGGTTTTCGATAACATTATAGACATGTGTGACACTCTTGATAATGTCGAAGGTGTCAAGCTAAATATGTTTTTTTTTTTTCGAGTACTTTCCCCATTTACATGTCTACAAAGCACAACATTAATTTTGCAAGTACTTTCTCGAATAGATAAATTTATGTTCCACAAAGTATTTTTCAAAATTTTGTTTTTAACATACTTCTGTAAAGTACCTTTTGAAATACTAAATTTATTGTTTCAGAAAGAATTTTTTGAAAATCATGTAAAACAACACATTTTCAAAAAATTCTTTTTGAAATACTAATTTTACTATTCCAAAAAACACGTTTTAGAAGTGTACTATTTTACATAATTTTGAAAAGTTATTTTTAAAATAGTAATTTTAGTCTTTTGAAAAGTACTTTTTAAAATTATGTAAAAAAAATGATTTCAGAAAATATTTTTCATAACACTAATTTCACTATTTGGAAAAGTACTTTTCAAAATATTTAAATTAATGTTTCAAAGAGTATTTTCTATGATACTAAATTTAATGTTAAGATTTCTGGAGTCATGAAAAGGGAAAAAGTGTTTGAAAAAAAATGATGCGTCGATATCTTTGAAAAGCTGTATTGCGCACAACTCTACGGTCTGAATATATGTAAAAATTGAAAAAGATGAAAAAAATAAAATAATATATATATATAT